AAAATGATTTTTTTTTTGTTTCAATAGCAAGAGATTACTTAAATAGTGAATATGTTCTGTTTTTTATATCAAGGTCATAAAAATATTTCTTAAAAATCACTTTTTTTGCCCAAGAAATCATTTTTTTTGCAAAAATAATACTCCCTCCGTCCCTAAATAAAATCATCTGTTTCCCTTTCGGACCGTCCCTAAATAAAAGTTCTCTTTCCTTTTTTGGCAAACAAAACAGTGCAAAACAGTGCCAAACAGTGTCCAAACAGTGCCAAATAGTACCAACCAAACCCACTTTCTTAAGATGTGTGTAAAATGAATGGATACTTTTATATATGGACGGAGGGAGTATTTTTTACATAAAATTGATTTCTTTGTTTGAATAGCAGGGCGTTATGATGTGATGTAACTCATGTTATAGAAAATGTAACTCGCGTTGATGGAAAATCTAACTTAGGAGTATGCAAAATGTAATTTGTTAAGGCAAGTCTAAATGTAACTCGCGTATAAGAAGATATAACTCACGCATAAAAAGATGTAAGTCGCGCATAAGAAGATGTAAATCCATAGACTATCTATCAAATGTAAAGAATGAAAACAAGGAGACCAATTGCTCAAATTAATTTACGTAAATAGTTAATATGTTTTGTTTTTAATATTAAGGCCATAAAAATGTTTCAGAGAAAAATTACATTTTTGCCAAACAAATTTTTTTTACAAAAAAAAACAGTTTTTTTTGCAAAAAAAAATATTTTTTTTTTGCAAAAAATTGATTTTTTTTGTTTCAATAGTTGGGGTTTATTTTGTGATATAATACGTGTTATGAAAAAGTTTAACCCGCGTTGATGGAAGATCTAACTTAGGTGTATGTAAAATGTAATTTGTTGAGACAAGTCCAAATGTAACTCGCGATAGGAAGATGTAAATCATATCATGCACAAGAAGATGTAATTCGCTCATAAAAAGATGCAACTTCATATACTATCAAATGTAAACAATGAAAATAATGAGTATAATTGCTCAATTAAGTGAAGTAATTAGTTAATATGTTTTGTTTATAGTATTAAGGCGGTAAGGCCATAAAAAATGTTTTAAATGAAAATAATACACCAAAAAGTGTATGAAACAAGTGTATGAATATGAAAAAAAATTACAAAAAAAAGTGTATAAATGTAAAAAATATTACACCAAAAATAAATTTGTAGTACTTATTTTACGTGGATTAGAAAAATTTTGTAATAAATTGGTAAAGAAAAAAGTTAATTTAATTGTAATTTAATTAGTTAAATATAAATATTAGAAAAATCAAAATTAGTTTTTAATATTTAGATAGAGAGAAGAAAATAATTGAAAGAAAAATAAAGAGATAGTGCTCCAAAGAATCCAGGAGTGATTGAGCCTTGAGGGGGAAGAAAGGAAACTAACTGACCATCTGTTTAAAAGACTAAAGTGCAAAATTTATTTTTCTTGAATTCATTATCAAGTCAATATATTAAGGAAAATTATCACCCACCTCCCTTGAGGTTTCACGTATTATCACCTAGACCTCTGTACTATTAAAAATATACTTTTACCCCCTCCTTATCCTTTAATGAGAGTTTAAATAACTCCTAATCATGTTTAGCAGAATTATAGATTTAATCATGTAAATTTACTCACTTGCATATCTGATCTGGTGACAAATAAATTTATCCTTATTAAGAATCTGTTGAGTTTAATCCAACACAATATAATAAATATAGATATAAATATGTATGAACAAGCTATTTTTACGTGGAAACCCGAAAGGGAGAAAACCACGGAACTTTTTAGGCTAATGTCCAAGCCCTCTCATTCTCATTAGGCTCTCCTCACCATTTACATAGTACAAGTATGAAGCTCCCATTAATGGAGGTTGCAAGATAGCTATTTTATTCTAGAGAGAAGGAGGAGAAAGTGGGGAAGAAGAGACCAACCCCTTACATTTGGGTAAGGCCTTCTATTTATAGGGAAAAGGGGGTAGGGGACGCATTCTACCCTAATGAGCCAAGTGGGCCGAAACGGGCCTGATGGGCTGGAATGGCCCTCATCATTCGGGCTTCGTATTGGGGCAATGTATTGGGCTCCTCAACAGTAGCAGACCAGGATAATATACCTCAACACAAGTCCCCCGATTTCTTGAGTAGTGAGTGTGCGAATCTGCTCGTGAAAGTATATTCTTACTCATGTTTTTCCTTGAATCTGTGTCTTCGAGTAGTATTACTAGATGTGTGGGGTATTTGCCCCTCCTTTTGAACAGTAAGTGGGCTGAGTTTTGATTGATTACAATGTGCACCCTACTTCTAGATAGTACATGTGAAATGTTCTGATTGAGCCACCCGAGAACGATTACATCGCACATCCTACTTCCAGATAGTACATGTGGAAGGTTCTGATTGCGCTACCCAATAATGTTTACAGCGTGCACCCTACTTCCAAATAGTACATGTGGAAGGTTCTGATTGAGCCAATCAGGAACGCTTGCGGCACATCCTACTTCCAGATAGTACGTGGGCCAAGTTCTGGTTGAGCCAATCAGGAACGCTTACGACACATCCTACTTCCAGATAGTACGTGGGCCAAGTTCTGGTTGAGCCAACCAGGAACACTTGCGAAACACCTTGCTGTGGATGAAACTGGTCTTCATATGATACGATGGTGTGGCGGGGCCGATCGTGCTGTGTGAGTGGTGGTGCCAAAACATGATTATGAGTTATTTATATGATTCAATCTATAATTTATATGATAGGGAGTACTTTACCGTATCAAATCTGCAAGTGAGTAAATTTATATGATTCAATCTATAACTTTGCTAAACATGATTATGAGTTATTAAACTCTCATCAAAGGATAGGGAGGGAGGTAATGTTATATTTATAATAGTGCAGAGGGTGTAAATGATAATGTATGAAACCTCAAAAGGAGGTGAGTGATAATTTCCCATATATTAATGTGTTTCATATGTCACTCGCAAATAATAGTCCAGTCAGTATCACGTCACTCGATCGAATGCCAACCATGCCCACGTGACAATTTAAAGAGTCAAATAGACACTTAAACTAAGCAAGATGTTTGATTTACCCATTCAACTAATAAAGCGACAAAATTGCAAAATATAAAAAATAAGAAAATAAAAAAAAATAGAAAATACAAATATAAAATAAAATACAAGTCGACAATATAAAATAAACACATTAATTAAATAAAATAATAAGGAAATATTTATACTTTACGGTAAATTAAAAAAAAATCTTTAACCCTGATTCCATACATTATATCTATTGTTTTTAAAAAATGAACAATATATGTTATTAATAATTAAATTTAAATTTGTATTTCATGTATTATATGCAATATTTTGTATAATAAAACATATTTTAGGTTTTTTTACTTTACAGTTTATATTATGCTTATACTTTAGATTTATATTTTTTATTTCATTTTTTATTTATTTGATATGTTTTATATTTATATGTAAAATTACACAGACATGCATGTATTTATATATACTTTGTATTGTTTTATTTTCCAATTCTACGCTATACTTCATACTAATTATATGCACCATTAAAATTTATACTAGATAAAAAATATAATATAAAAATAGTTATTTCATTTTAATACGGAGTACTATTTAATTAAAAGAATTTATTTTCATTTATATTTCATTTTCAATTTTGAATTTACCCCAAAATATAAATATTTTCTTATTATATTATTAAATAGATGTCCATGTTTGATATCATCGATTTGTATTTTATTTTATATTTGTATTTTTCATTTTAAAATTCTTGTTTTTTATTTTTAGCAATTTTGACACTTTTTTACGGTTGAGAAAGTAAAGAACATATTAGTGGGGCTCAAGAGTCTTATTTGATCACTTAAACTACCACGTTTGAATGCACAATTGGCATAATGGCATCTGATCAGGTCTCATGGCAAAATTAAATTTTTAAGTTTTACGAATGCACAACTAATCTGCCATTTCCCGCCAATGCCCTGCCCCACCTCTGCTCTATCCCTACCCAACTTATCCCTTTCCAATCCCGCCCATCCCCTACCCATCCCCATGCCCACAAGCCCCTCCCTTGCTTCACTGACCGCAACCAACACCGCGCCCCTCAAATGACCACCACCACCGGTGACTTTGCGAGTGCCCCACACCACCGAAGCCTCAGCCACTACCCCAAATCCAACCCCTCCCCCCATTACTGCTCAACCCCTTCCTAGAAACCGCTCTACAAACACTGGCCCCATCCGTTGCACCTTTGCCGCCATATCCCCAATTAACCTATTCGTTTGCGCCACTGCCAATTGGACAAAATCATTGTCAAAATATTGTTGTCGACCCTAGCCACCAGAACCCCAATTAATGTAACCCTAGTCATCGTTAATCATCATAGCCGTTGCCGCCTCCTATCACCGTCGATGCCCACCCACGGCCATCATTCATCATCTATGTAGCCGTAGTCATCATCATGTGGGGGAGATGAAGAGAAGGCCGTCGATTTCCATCCCAATCCCGATTAAGGAGAAGAAGCAATACGACGGGGAGGGCGTGCGGCGGAATGAGGTAATGGCAGCGTGAAGCTCAAGAGGGAGAAGAACGATGATGAGACCTGGAAGCGTGAAAAATGCAATGGACTGAAGATCACTTTTCTATCCAATTCACTTTTAGTCACATTTTGTCCAATCAAAGCTCATTAGTACGGAGTATTAATTTTGCCACTTTCATGCTAATCTTTATCATCAATATTATTATTATAACTTCCTTATTTGTTTTGCAGACTTTCGGGATACCCAAACCACAAATTTAGAAACCATTCTAATTGGGATTCAAGTTATTTATAGTGTGTAATTAAAGTAAAACCAAACCTGAAAATCAAGTTAACATTCATATCATCATGTGCAGGTAAAAAACCGTAGCTAAAATTTGATTCAAATCTGTTGGATCCAAGGTAAGGGTTGATAGAGCTGTGTAAATATGATCGGTGAAAACAAATTTATCTCAAATTTCATCCAAAAAATCACAAATCATGCATAAAGTGATAAAATCCTATAACTTATAGCCAAAATATGCAGCTTTTGTACTTTGCAGAAGATGTCCTAGTGAAGATACTTAGGTACAACCAATTTCATGAATACACCAGTAAATGTAAAGAAAATAAGCCTACTATGCTATCCTGACAAGAAGTAATTTACCCATGAAAGAAATGAAATATGTACATCAAAACTGGGGATCAATGACTTTTGATTGCCCAAAATGAAACCACTGGTTTCTGCGAGATGTTGAAGCGAAGGAAACAACAAAAATGACCGCAAAATTGAACCCTGCTATGTTAAGGATAGCAAAAAGATGTTCATTGCAAAAAAAGTTTATCTACATCGTGTATCGTCATTTACACTTTGCCTTCTGTTCCTACTCATACACACTTGCCCGGGAGGTTGGCTGCCATGTTATTCAACTACAGAATATTTTAAAAAGAAGCAATTAGAAATTATACATGTTACCTTGAATGTTTTACTCTCAGCATAAGATTGTTGATTCCAAAGAAACAAGCAAATTAAGAAGTCTAAATAATACGCCATTGCTTGGGTTGAAAATCATGAGATGTGGAGTGAAACAACATCCTTGTTAGAAGGCAGTGTGAATGCAGTTAAAAGTAAAAGTTACCACTGCATTACTATTTGGCCAACCCAAACTGGGATTGAAAATGCATTTCATAAATGGACTATAATATGCAATCTATACATTTTGCAAATCTGAGTGATCAAGCAAATATTTCATTGGAATGGTCAGCATGCTAGAAGCGAAAAACAGATTATGCAAATTCTTGAAAGGTTTTCTGACTATGGAATAGTGAATAACTGAATACATATACATATAGTCTATTTATCCATTTGAAACACTATTTATTCGATCCTTCAGTCTCTGTTTACATAGTAACATAGACATCCACTATACATCATTTTTTCCAACAATCTTTAAAATCGCAGTCGATATTTATTTTCTACAACAACCAAGTCTATAAGACTTGTATGAAGGACTGCGACACTAATGCTTTGAAATGTCTAACATTCTACTGTAAGAAAACAAAACAATTTAAGGTACTCAAGAACAAAGACTTCTAAAGATAAGATCCTTGCAACAACATTACCCCGTGCCGGAAAGGCTCCCACCAACGGTGGGGTAAGGGGGGTCGGATGTACGTAGTCTTACCCCTGTACTAAAGCACAAAAAGGCTGTTTCCAAATGACCCATGATGAAAATCACGTCTAAAATTGCATGGACTGACTGCCGCTTCATAAACAGGAAACACAGCAGTTTAGTGAGCCACTTTGCTTTATTCCATCATATTCTTAAGCCAAAAAATATTGAGTCTTTGGCTCCATTAGAAATGATGGAGCGAAAGATAAGATCCTTCTCAAGAAAAATTCAATCTAAAAAGTATACTCCCTTGGTCCTAAATAAACTTCACACTTTCCTTTTTGGGTAGGTCCAAAATAAACTTCACTTCTATTTTTGGTAACTTTTTAATATAAAGTTACCCTTATACCCTTACTTTATTAACTACTTTACACCCATTTTCTCTCTCCACTACACATAACCTAAAAGCAAAAAATCCACTTTCTTAAAAACCGTAAAGTCAAACTATGAAGTTTATTTAGGATCGGAGGGAGTATTAGGTTATTGGCATGTTACACCGTCCTGTGTTAAATAGTAAACTGTACAAGCAAGGGAGAGAGTACACTCCATTTTACAAGTAAAATCAAATTTACCAAATAATCAATTTAATGGCAATATCTCACCTGCGTTACCAGAAATTTGATTACTTCCTTTGCAGCAATGTTTTTCTCAGTCTCAACTTGGGCTGCATCTTGTGCCTCTATTAATCGCTTTAATGTTGTTTCAAGCTCCACTTCCAAGAACTGTGATCTATTCACGAGAGTTTCCACCTGCAAGGCATACAACTATTTAAGGATTGTGACAACAAGCTACTTGCTAGACCCATCAGAGTACGGGAAATTATTCATTTGAAAGGAACACTTAATGCCAACACAGTATATCTGAAACCAAACCACACAACTAAAAGATGCCATTTGAAGTTTATTAGTACAAGCCAATGAATTAATGATTTTTGTTCTCCCTAACTCAGTTAATATGTTAGAGATACATGCCAAATATGCTATTGACTTAGGCCAAAGAGTGAGATTCAACCCCTGAAATAATAAAAAAGCAACTCCATGAAGAACCTGAACTAGCCCAAAAATGAAATCGGACCAATTAGTATATGAGAAACTGGTTAGAGTTGAGCTATAGCCTATTTGGCTTCAATGTATTGTTTACAACCCAATTTGGTTGGTCATTTTTCTCTCAAGGAAACATTTAGAGCCTAGTTAGCACTAAATTGGAAAATGTTACATATATGTTCTTACAAGTGGCGTTTCAGAAAATTATCTAAGGGGGGCGAACTTACACTACAATCAAACATTTCACAAATAGCATATCACATTATTAATATTGTGTAATTAGAATTAATTTAAGTTATAAATGTACAAGTATGTATAAAAGAAGATCAATTTATATTACGTGTGTTCAAAGATGCAATTATAGATAAAATTTGAGAAAATTCCCTAAATTGAAGTTAAAACATACAATTTTCTCAAATAGGAGTATCATTGTTTTCTTCTCCAAACAGGACTCATGCACTCCTATTTAGGGAATTTTTTATCCTTTTATTCCTTTAATAGGATTACATAAATCCTATATTTGGAGAAGAAAATACTCTTAGTCCTATTTTAGATTATTTCCTATGTTTTACTCCTATTTTAAGCAATTTCTTATGAAATTTTAAATAATATATTCAGGGGTTGAGTTGGGGTTGGGGAGGGAAGCTGCTGCCACCCTAGATACGCCCCTGGTTCTTACAAAACTTTAGTTCTCTAGCATGTAAAGAATTTCTTTAAAATCCACCAACCTCCAGCCCGGTTACCACAAGCTAATGGTCTACGCCATGTAATTTTCAGCCAGAAATAATACGTTCTGGTGAAAACGTACTTGATGTGGACAAAGTTATTAGTCACAGGACATGATCTACAATTGAGTAACATTACAGGAATAAGAATGGGTACAAACATAAGTTACTTTCGATATTATTATAGAATATAAAAAATTAGCAAATCTCCTGTAGTATTATAAAACTTTCCATAATCAAATAAAAAATAAACTCTCAGAGTATGTTATTCTACATCCAACAACTGTGAATGATACCAAGCAATTGTAGTTTACAAGACTGTTTTCCCAAACTGAAAATTACCTGCTCTCTTAATATTGATAGTTCTTTTGTGAGAGTTTCACTTGTATCTCTTTCTCTAGCAACAACTCCAGGATTTCCCACCAGAGGAAAATCACATGCCTTCGAAAAGGAAGGAATATGACTTGAACTTATAGATGCAGGAGAAACTGATAGAGAATGATGTGTTGATCCAGGGATGTGAAACAGTGTTTTGTCAGAAAAGTCAAGCATAGATGTAGGACTTGAAACAAAAGATCCATCCCATTGAGAACTTCCACTAGAAGCACCATGACTTGAATTTTGTTTCTGGTTACTTTTGGAGTACTGATTTTCAGACCATCTGAATGAATCAAGTGATGATAGCTCAAAAGCAAGGCCTTTGATCTTATGGTTAATATGTTTCTCCTTTTTCTCACTGAAACTCTTGTAAGGAACTAAGCCACATGCCTTTGGCAGTAAAGTGGTAGGTGAACTATCCAAGCCCTTGTTGAGTTTATTAAAGCAATCTTCACATACACGATAAGGTTTATTCAAACTTGGAGCCAAGGAGGCTTTCACAGATTTCTTACTCGTGCATGTCTTGCAAAAAGCTAGCCCACAATTATAGCAATTATGACGCTTCCTTCTGAAGTTAAATGAAGAGTGGCAACCCGAACAAATGGAATAATCAGACATCGACAACTCTTTGTGAAGACAAGTGACGGCAGTGAAATTTTTCCCACAAACCACACTCTTTACGCATTTGTCTCTCAGAGCCTCAACCTGTGTAGGGATACTCCTGTCATAGTTTTCTCCATGTCCTAGTTGGCCATTTCCTCCCTTTCCCCATGTGTATACCTCGGATTGTGAACTCAATGCTGCAACATGAAAAGAACCACACGCTATTTCTTCAATAAAACTGTCCTTAATTTTTCCATGGACAGAAGAAGGTAGTCTCCCTGTACTCCCTGGAACTCCAAGTTGTCCATGATCAGCACTTCCCATAGTATATATTTGTCCCGAGGTTGTAAGTGCAACCGTGATGTTACAACCACATGCAACCTGACAGAAGTTTGTACCTTCTAAAACAGTAAGAACACATGGTACAAGTCTAGATATGTTATCCCCGTGTCCAAGCTGACCATCATCCCCATTTCCCCAAGTAAACAGCCTGCAAGTTAGAGAACCACAATCAAGATTTTCTGAAGTGGACTCTACAACAGCAGCAGTATGCCAATATCCACATGAAACTTTTGTTGTTCTTAACCCTTTCAGAGATTCAACTTCCTTAGGAATGCAAGTGCTACAGTGGTCTCCATGACCTAGGGCACCAAAACTTCCATCCCCAAATGTAAACAATTCACCCATGGATGTTAGAACAGCTGAATGCCAAGGTCCACATGAGATCATTGATACATGTTTATCCTCCAATGAGCCCCTTACCTTTTTCGGGGTCCAGTGGTTGATTCCAGTGCCATGCCCAAGGAGGCAAAAGTTGTAAGTGCCATCTCCCCATGTATACAGTTCCCCATCAATGGTTATAGCACATGTATGATATTCTCCACATTCTGCAGATGTGATGGTGAACCCACTGAGGGTGTCAATAAGTTTCGGGTTATAGATATCAGACTCTATTCCATGCCCTAGTCTACCAAAAGATCCGTCTCCCCAGCTATAAGTCTGTCCATGTTTTGTGATGAGAATTGCATGCCTACTCCCACAGGAAATAATTTGAGTATCAAGCACTGATGCTGATTCAAGAGTCTTTGGCAATAAAGAATCCCTTGATGCACCAGGTAAGCTTCTACCACTATAAAGCCCACCACCCAATAGATCATCACCAGTTCCTTCGCCCCACACTAGGACGTCTGTATCTGAATTTCCAAAAGATCTCTGGCTAGATGAACTAATGGCACTAGAGAAACTAACTCGAAATGTATCCACAGAGCTCCGCCCATTTTCATCATCTAAGTCCTTAAATAATCTTGAACTAATGGAATTGGAGACTAAATCTCTATGGGAAGAACTTGCTGCTGTATTATAAAGTAGAATATCGGAGATGGCTCTTACCAATCTTGTCTTATGGGGGCTCTCAAATGCATGCTGATTTAAATTATTTTTCCATGGGTCCTGTGGCCAAGAAAAAATTAAATTAGCGAAAGAAATAAGAAACTGTTTAAGAGAATGACACAGCAGGAAACCTCATTGGTAAAAATATCATTACTGCTGCCAGTCAGCGAAATGGACTGGGATCTTTGTTGGGTCAAGGCACTTGAACTATCTGATGAAGTACTATGTCTTCTTATAGCGCTTCTCCATTTTTCACAGCTATCCGGAGAAATAAGTGCCCTGAGCGCAATGAACCAGATTTCTGCCTCATCCTTATCTTTGCAAATCTGTCAGGTACCAATTACTTTAAGCATATATAAATGCGGACATCAAACTCATTTATATGTTTTTATTTGGTTTTAACTCTAAAACTTGAATATGTGAACAAGGGGTCTTGTTATAGTGTTCAAAAAACTCTACGGTCAGACGATTGGAACTTGTAAGCGTAGGTGAAGTCGTAGAGAGCAACACTCCTTGCATGGTAAAAAGTTGATTATCTATGAAGAATGGCTATGGTAAGGAAAATTTGGAACAAGCTTCTTGCAAGAGTAGAGAGGAAAAACATGTCTAAGATCTGCTATTCATACAATTTCTAAATTTTACTGCTATAGCATAACTTGACAAGATCTGGAGAATAGGAAGCCATAAAGGATCTAAACTAACTTATAAAGCTATCTGTGGAACCATATTATGAGCTGCTCACATAAATAATAATCACAAAAATGAGCATAAATGCACCCATTAACACGTGTCGAAATTAATGGATGCCTTTTAATATTTGTAGGTACTGGAAACTACACCCATCCTGTCTTTCCCTTCATTAATTTCGGTTTCTTTGATTACCTAGGTACCAATTCAATCCAGTGACTAGTGGATTCTTTGTATTCTTCCTCACTTCAAGAAATATGAATTGTTTCTATTGTCAGTGAGGCAGCAAGGCAAATTACTGAATATTTTTGTCATGTATAGGAGAGGATTATTGATATTTACCCTGCATATTACTGAATATTGCTGATTAGTGTGTTCTTTTGTCGGGCTCTCAGTCCATTAAAACAATTTGAAGTACATGGAAAGGCATATTTTACCAAATCTAAAGATCCTTTGTCATATATGAGAGAGAAGGATTGATATTCTTTGTCAGGTCGAGGATGACGCTGAAAGATTGGCGGTAAATTACATCAAAGTTACTTAAACATAACCTAAGCAAAAAATATAACTATGTTGATGAAACTGAGAGAGGCAACTCAGAAGACAATCTTACAGTACGTTGCCCATGAATAATTGTTGAAACATGACTTAGTGGGATACTTTTCTCCTCCTTTCCACAATACCAAATCAGTCTTGTCTCGTCCTGGAACTCAGATATAAAAACTTGGAGTCTAAGTATGATTGCATTAACGAAATAATAATAGTAATAATAATGATGATTAAATAGGAGTAAATAAGTTTTGGAATTCCAGAGTAGGAGTCGATACTGGCATGATTGAAAAATACTGCCATGATTGGAAAATACTGGCATTAATGATAATATTGTCATGTGTAATGCCTAATATTGCAACTATTTGGCAATAATGACTACAAGATGACAGTAAATACTGCCATTTACTCCTATTTCGGGAAGAAAAACATAGCAGTCCTAGTTTGGAATTCCAAGACCCGTTCACTCCTATTTCGGGAACTTTCCCTTATAATAAAACACCCAGCCCCCAACTCGTGTTCTCAAAAGGGAGCATGCATATTTTGAATGTGATTCTTCTTTGATACCTGATTTCTAAAGATCTGGCCTAGCTTTGTTCACAAGCATCACAATTTATAAATCAAAGAGCCATAGATGGACAAAATGGCATACACCGCTAATCATTCCCCACTTAGAAACATTAAGCCTATAGCTTTCGGGATTTAGGTATTACCATATTCCAGAACTAGAAAAGGGAGGAAATGGAAACAAAAAAGAGTTCCTAAATTACACAATCCATTTGCAAACCAAGTGATATGACAGCTTCCTTTCCAACAAGCTCAACTGCTCTACAATGTGATACTACTTTTTCAAGATATTGCGATAATTTGTCTTTGAAGAAAAGAATTTATCTAATGAATAGGAGCCATAGGGCATTTGCACTTGATACACACTGAGGTCTACAGATATAAATGAATATCTACAAAGGAAAGCGATCTTGTAAGGATAAGAAATCCTACTTATATCAAACTCAATTTGAGGAATCAATGATTATTGAAAAAGTGCATACAGTTGAAAGCCGAAAAGGGCAGAACTTTGGCTTTCCTCTACGCCCATACTTGAGAAGGTACGATCCCCTTTTTATGGCTGTTATGGCCTGCAATTATCAACAACAGTTAAGTTATCCAAAACTATATGTGCCCTGAAAAAAAAACATGAACTATCTTGAATCCAGATCATGTTTTCCCATTCAAAAATGAGGGGGGGAGTATGCCTTTGGAGAGAGCAAAGTGGAGGGCGCACATCCGTGTGGACGATTGATGTCTTTTCTACCTTTCCTCTCTTTTTTCTTTTATCGTTTATCTTCCTTATCTTTTTATATTTTTATGTTATTAGTATCTTCTAGCTTTTTTATGCTCTTTTATTTTTTTCTTTTATCTTTCTTATAATCTTGTGTTATTGTTATCTTATACTCCTATTTATTTATCTTTATTTTATTCATTTTATCTTACTTTTTTCTTCCCTTTCTTGTCCGTCTTCTCTTTTTGGCATTTTTTATATCATAGATCGATTCATGTTAGCCGACCCCAAATTCTTTTGGGATTAAGGCTTGGATGTTGTTGTTGTTGTATGGTGCATCACAAATTCTAGTTTAACTCACTAGAAAATATAGAAATTGTGCATTTAGCTGGTGGCATTGACAAAAAGATTCCTTGCTGGTTGAAAGATATTATTAGATAACTGAGGTGTGGAGCTCCAAACTAATGAAATAATGAACTAAGAAGTGAATGATTAGTAATTCCTTACCCAATGAAGCCCTATATATGCAGATATTTTACTATGCTGGATTATGGGGGAAGGCCGGAAGGGGGCACTTTTAGATGGTAGGTATTCATAAAGTTGTAGTAAAGCATCTATAATAGTCATCTCCTCAAGTTACACTACCTGCTCCACGTTCCTCCCGCCAAGACTGTTTCTCTGAAGATTATTCATTCAAGCTGACATGTGTGGGACAACGCCAATTTGGATACTGGCAAACCTTTAAACAGAAGTACAGATGCTACCAAATTTAGTCCATCAGAAACTTCTCAAAACACTATGGGTGAGAAACTAAAATGTAGGATTTCATGAACAATACACTAAATGCAATTACCTTGATAATAACTACATAGAATCACTGCTTTGGCCTCTTGTTTTGTTTCCCTCTTGATTAGTAAATAGATAGTGCGACCAGGCATTGATAAACTAATAGTGAAACCTTTGTAGAAGCTAAAGAGATTAAGGTTATGGGAAACAAATAAAATCCACTCCTTCCATCATCCTTATACATTTAATGTATACTATGCTTTCATGAAAGCTATAGCTGCCAGAACCACCAAAAGTCGCAGCAGAAGCCTTGTCTCATCGTGTCTGGATTGAAATTCTCGACTGTGCACATGGAGTTACATAAAAAGTTTGCTCCTTTATAGACCAGCAAGAAAAATAAGAACTGATAATAAATACTCCGTATTTTGCAAATCACACAAAACCTAGAGTGTAATCAATCATTGATTAGAATGCAAATCATGTAGGCAAAATAAGAGCATTTAAGCTACTTTCCTACCCTCTTGCACACATTCCTAGCCATAATCATCCACAAAATCAACAAAAAGAAATGGAATTAAACAAAATCTATTTTACTATTTATGAATGACCAAAGCTAGGCGATGGTAGACAAAAACATTTCACAAAATGTTAAGAACATAAAAAAGTCTATCGCATTTAGCAAAAGTCTGGATTAATATGAACACTAAATGCTTACCACAAGTTTCAGAAAATTAAAATGGTTAAACAGGCCCTGAAATGAAAAGAAACGTACGGATTGCAGAGCTTCGAGGCTTTGATCAAAGCTTCTCCTATTCTTCCGGTCGCAGGGCTATTTGACAAATGCTAGAAACGTTACCATTTCAACCCCCTTTCTCGTGAGCTCTCTCTCTCTCCATTGCTCCAAAGTGTGTCCACGTGTGTGTGTGTATATACGGTACCAGAATCTGTTAGGAACATTCCTTTTGTCATTTTTAGCACCTAAAGATATAATTGTCCGCGAACACCAATGGATTCCAGTTTTATTTCGGGCAATCAATAACTTTAATCGAACCTCCATATTCGGTAATCGGTTCGGTCTCCGTTCTTATGAGAAGTGATGATTATATTCTCATTCTGAGGGTGGGCATCTTTAAACCATGGTTTCGATTTCAAACAACCAGACTTTGGAATCGCGTTCTGATTTTTTTGTTCGTAGTAAGTGATCCGATTTCGCCGGCTTAATCTTGGACTCCAAAAGAATCACTTCAAAATTTTGAAAGAGGTTAATTCGAGTCGTTTAAACATCGGGTCTGCCGGACGCACCGCCAAAATTGCTATGAGCACCAATATTTTGTCAAAGTTGGACAAGTGTATCCTTACCCACGTCGATAAGGAAACATGCCTAATTAGGTTGCTAGGCACACCCACATACTTTTCCCTATTAAATTCACTATCATCCATGTTACGGAGTAATTTTTTAATGGGCCTTATTGTTTCATTAAAATAAAAATAAGTTTTATATTTCCTATAAAATTTTGTGTAACATGTTTCTAAAAAATAACGTAACTATTTTGAAATATACTCAAATTTACCATCAAACAACTACTATATAAATAGTTGGAACTCATTATTAATACTCTCATAATTTTTTTACAATCTTCTTATACAAATATACAATAGAGAATGAATCTGAAAATTATCTAAAAAATAGTACTCTTGATTTTCAGACTTATGAGATATTCATCTGCCTCATTATCTGTATCCCATTTCTTCTTTTTGATGTGTTTCATGAAGTTTGTCAATATTTAGAGTAGTATAGCCTTGTTATTATTTTTAATCTTGAAATTGCTATAACTATTTTATTTGTAATCTAGTTTTTACAAAAAATATATGAAATTGCTATAACTATTTTATTTGTAATCTAGTTTATATCGTAAATATATTAACAATTGTTGGATTGCACGAAAAACTGATTGACACAAATATCGAACCCCGTAAATTTGGATTTTTCTCATGTTTTCGATCCCAGATCAAACTCAATCGGCACCATGCTGATTCCACATTACGACCATATATGTTACATGACTAGATTTAGGATGTGAATGATATTTAGAATATTTCTAATTGAACTGATTTTGATCCAAACATATTTCAAACAAATTAGATCAGATCGGACTAAATTAGATTTTAATAATACTACGTAGTGAATACACATTTATCGGCTATTCACCAGACCTGGCCAATTGTTTTTTTAAATATATATATATATATATGATATTGATGTCATATGATATATCATAAAAAAATATTTAATTTGATATAATTTTTATAAAAAGAGGAGCAAAAATAAAAAAGTTATAACATATAATAAAAAATGAATTTTTTGCCACATAGCAGCAAGTTGTTGGATGGTGAGTAAAACTCAATAGAACTCCACATATTGCAAAATTGTTAAGGACAACCCTTCTGATCCTACGAGAACTCCAAGTATTATTTAGTTTTTAACTTAATTTTAATTTAATAACCAAAAAGGTCAAAACCGTCATGCATAGGTTACGTAAAGTAAATATGGGGGTGCGCAAAGCAACCCCCTTAAACATTCGGTCTTAATTTATACCTACAAATCTGGTCTTGATTGATTAAGGCTTTATTTTAGATTATAAAGCAATTTATTAGCTTAAAAAAGAATAAACAAACAATTATCTCTAGATGGACCATCAAAAACTTTATTTTAACTTTTATGAAAATGAAGAAAAACTTATATAAAATAGTTAAAATGATCATCTACGGTACGTCGGTAACTTCAGCCAATACAGAAAACTAACTTCAGCCTTACTTTTTCTTATTATTATTACATAATTCAGATCGTGAAATCAAAAAATACGTGTTTGATGAAAAAATGGTCGATAAGCGTGATAAGCCAAAAACAGGATTACTAAACGGGCTCTAAACTCCGATCTAAGTGAAACTGGGAATAATTTTATGGGACGAGAGAGTATTACTATTATTATTATTATTATTATTATTGTCGGTGAATCAAATCACCTTTACAAGTAAAAAGAATGAGAATATTAAAAAATCACATTTCATTAAAAATATAAATATACTTGAATTTCAATTTGGTCATTATTGTGGATTTTCAATTTTGTACATGCAAGTTAGATAGACTTACGAAAGGGTATCAAATGATTCCCAATCTATCATCTGGAAGAATATTTGAACAAAAAAATGCACATCTCTTACTATGTAATGGCCCTTGAAAGAAACACGATAGTAGATTACCAACTAAAATAAGAAGTCAAACCAAACCTGACGAAATATCAAAATAAACTTGCGGAAACAATACTCACACTATTCATAATAATGAGTGGGATAAATTCTCTGTCTCATATGTAGTTATTTAAAGTATGAGATAAGTCAACTAACAATTGAGCGGGAGAATTTCTCTCTCGCATATATATAGTACATTTAGGTATAAGGTAAGCCGGCTAACAATTGAACGGGAAAACTTTCTCTCTCATACGAAAGGCTTTTAGGTATAAGAAGATAAACATGCTAATAATTGAGCGGAAGAATTTTCTCTCTCATATGTAGTGTCTTTAGCTATTATAAGATAAGTTTGCTAACAATTGAGTAGAGAGATCGAGAGTGAGAATTTGCTATCTCATATGTAGTGCTTTTAATTATTAGAATATAATCTTATTAACAGTTGAGTGGAATAACTTTCTCTCTAATATTTAGTTCTTTTAAGTATAAGATAAGTCGACTAACAATTGAGCGGAATAATTTTATCTCTCATTTGTATTGCTTTTAGGTATAAGAAGCTAATAATATAAGCTTGCTAACAATTGAGCAGGTGAATTTTCTCTCTCATATGTAGTGTTTTTGTACAAGGTAAGATAAGCCAGCTAACAATTGAGCGGAAGAACTTTCTCTATCATATATAGTTCATTTAAGTATAAGATAAGCCGGTCACAATTTGGTAGAACAATTTCTCCATATCATATGTAGTGTTACACTTGAGATTAATTTTGTGGTGGTTTATGAGGATAGTACTAGAAGTTTGGAGTAAGTACCTCGGGTCCTACGGGGCGGGATGTTACAGGTAGTGCTTTTAGGTATAAGGTAAGTCAGTTAATAATTGAGCGGGAGAACTTTCTCTCTTATATGTAAGAGTTTTAGGTACAAGAAGATAATAATGCTAATAATTGAGCGGAAGAGTTTTCTCTTTCATATGTACTGCTTTTAGATATTAGAAGATAAGTTGCTAACAATTGAGCAAGAGATTGGAGCGGGATAATTTTCTCTCTCATGTGTAGTGTTTTTAGGTATAAGCTAATCCGACTAACAATTGATCGAGTGGGACAATGTTCTGTGATATATAGTTCTTTTAGGCGTAAGAGAAACTGATTGAGTATTTAGCAGAATAGTTTTCTCTCTCATATCTTAGTTCTAATTTAACTAATGAGTAGCAACTTCTTTTTCAACTAATACTATTCATTAATTGTAATAATTATTCTACTCACTTAATTGTAATAACTGGCCGATTGTTTTATTATCCCAGTTTCCCTGATCTACCCACGTGAGTCTCTTATTAGTCTTCTCCTCGATTGTATAATTACTGCCTTCTCTTTGCACCAGATTTCCCCAATTTTAATTACTGCTCAAACTTATACAACAATTCTTGGGTGTTTAGTTTCTCTCATGGAAGAACCTCCTATATGCCTATATATATTACTCCCTCCGTCCCCTTTTAAATGTCCCGGAAGAGAGTGGCACGAGTTTTAAGAAAAGTAGGGTTGTGTGGTTCATATTAATAGATAAAGTAAGAATAAAGTAAGAATAAAGTAAGAATAAAGTAAGAATGATTTTGAGCCACACAAACTTTACCAAATAAGGTATGGAACAATTAAACAGGGACATCCCAATATGGTAAAATGAGACATTTAAAAGAGGATGGAGGGAGTATATTCTACCGGAATCTGCTATTTGTATAATCTCACTATATTTATAGGATATTAGATTTGATTATATATGGTGGTATGCATGGAGCAAATTGTCTATCCATTTTTAGGATCCATTACTTAGCTGCGTTAATGGATATTTCATTTTTTAATAAATAAAAATGATATAAGTAGTTGTAGAGTTGTACGGATAAAATTAATTACGGAACGTATGTATATAAAATTAGTTACTAAACATAATGTCCTTAAAAGCCATCTACTAGCTGATTGTAAACAACCATTTAACCAAACACTATTTTATAAACCGCTAATACTATCAGCTAATCAAAATCGCTAACTGAAACTGCTCTTATCAATCAGCTAACACAATCGGCCAACAGCCACCAGCTAACAACAAATTGTCACACACCTCCATTGTTCTTGCTTTTTCAGAATAGTATTTAATTTTAAATTTAATTTAATCATGAAAATTTATAAGTAGTAAATTCTAATGAATAGTGTCAATTGATTTTTCCTAATATACTCTTCATTGAATATGTATTTAATGAGCTTATACTTTATGGTATTAGCTTGTTGTACTCTTATTTTTCAAAAATGATGAATTCTACAAAGTACTTTTATTTTAATATTTAATTAAATCGTATGTAAAAATATATGCATCAAATGCTTTTTCTCGTGCGTATGCACAGGTACTATACTAGTTTATTAGCTTAAAAAAGAATAAGCAAACAATTATCTCTAGATGAACCATCAAAAACTTTATTTTAACTTTTATGATAGATCGTTCGAATTCTATGCATGATGGCTCTGCCCTAATTTGGTTTCTCATGGTTGATGTTTCCATCCTGGTTTCTTTATATTCGCAACCTCTTTGCAGACTATAAATTAAGCTATGCAAAATAATACTTCTTCCGGTCCTTAATTAACTTTACACTTTCCTTTTTGGGCCGTCCCATATTAAATTTTACACTTTCTTATTTGCCTTATTTGACAAATAAATCTACACCAAACACTGTCAAATAGTGTCAAACAGTGCATTCTACAGTAAAGTCAAATTTATTTCCTTAATATGTGTGAAGTCAAAGTGTAAACTTCATTAAGGACCGGAGGGAGTAGTAAGACTGCTTTATTGGCAGAATGGGCTGTCGGACATTCTCATCCTCATCAATCAGGCTCTAATGTATCTAGGGATGGACTGGGGATGGGTCAGCCCGACCCAGGCCCGACACTGTTTAGGCCCGCCTCGTTACTGTATAGGTCCGGTCCCGTCCCAGGCCCCGGCTCAGTGGCTATAAGGGCAGGCTTCAAGCTCGATTTTTTGAATGTCCAACTGCACTATTTCTTTAATTGAATGTCCAATCCGATCTAGTACCGGTACAAACCCAGGCTGGTACCGGGATTGAAATCCTTAAGCCCAAAGCTCACCCAGTCCCGTCCCGAAGCCCGGTCCCATCCTACTCCATCCCTAAACGTATCGCGATGTGAACTTGAAAATGCTGAAGTAGGTAGATGTTAGTATATATGTCCTAACGACAATCACTCTTTAGAAATATATATGTACTTGATCACATTCAATTTTATTTATTTGATATATACGTTATTATACATTGATCATTAAGTATTTCTATTGTCAATGCCTTATTCATAATTGTGTTCCCTTGGACTTATGTTGTCAATAAGTAAGTGAGAGTTTATATGATATAACATAAGGTCTTAAAGTAGCCCCAATCAATGATCATCAAGAAAGGGATATTGTTGATATGCGATAAGATTTGTATGTGGACAGCATCATACTTTTAGAAAGTATAGTTGATCTCACAACTATGAGTTCATGTAATTCATGATAGTCACACCGAGAAACCATTTGATAAGTTCTATTCATGTGTCTATGTGATTATCGGCGTATAGAGTAGTGTAATAGTCTTTCGACTTGAGGTCAATACGTACTTCATATGTGGAGTGATGTACTTTGACAATGACCAACACTTGCACTCCAATCGGGTAGATACGACATGTGTTAGGTGCATCACGAAGCACATGGAGCAGTAGTTGAGCCAGGAAAGGATTCATTCCTCATTTTGGATATCAAATATGATCGTTATGGATCATCTAGAAAGATTGAGAGATAGAGACTAAGTTATCGGGATAGACACAATATCAAGTTCTAGACTCAGCTGAATGTTCGTTGAATAAAAGGACTATATCACTATAAGCTATATATTACAGGGAGTTTGAATAGTTCTCGCAAACGTCCTTATATATTAAGATTGTCTGGTAAATCGTCTAGGAATTCTGGTAAGACCTTAATTTGATCAGTGCTTAATATATAAGGCTCTATGGGTCACACAACAATTGATTATACCTTCCGAATGAATTGTTAGAAGAAATTAAATATTATTAATCGAATGAAATAATATATAATTCGTAATACTGGAAATGAATTAAATATTAATTAGATTAAACATATTTAACTCAGAAAGTTGAATGATGGTTCTATTTGATAAAATCAATTAAGTAGAATAAATTAGATTTATTATACTTAATTAAATGTATTTATAATTAAATAAAGTTGATAATTTCTTGAGTTTAATTTGGAATTAAAATTTATTCAGGAAATTACAATTAATATAATAATAATGATGAATAATGTATGTTACAAGAATAAGGGCAGCCCCCTATTCTCCTTAACATATGTACATGTACTTATTATTTAATTATCATTATTTATTATTATATCTTTATTTAATTAATAAATGGTATTGGTTACAGTTGGACTATAACTCATTAATTAAAAAGACGGGAACTAGTTTAGAACTAATATAAATACACCTCCTCCATAATTGATTAACCAGTTTTCTAGATTCAGCATTACTACCTCCGTCTCACTATGTTTGGGACAAAGAGGAGTGACACAACTTTTAAGAAAAAGTGGAATTTTGTGGTTGATATTGAATTGATAAAGTGAAAATAAAGTAAAAGTGAATTGTAACCACCCAAATATTACCAAATATGGTATGAGACAAACATAATGGGACGTACAAAAAAGGTAAAACGAGACAAAGTTAACGGGACGGAGGGAGTACTAGTTTATTTCCTTGCGAAGAGATTTCCTAACATTTCTCTGGAGATCTAACCGTTCTTTCGGAAGGAGAAATCACGTGGATACCTAAGATCAAGGATCATCACCGCTAGGCCGGAAGATTTTTAAGATCTGTTATTATTGTTATATTCGTTGTTTTGTCATAATCAGAGAAAATCTGTTTGGAAAAATTTAAACTTCCGCTGTTATACTTTTGAGATACGTTACATCAATTTCCTAACGGTAAGTTGCTTACAGATCTGATTATCTGATTAAGTTTTATTTACCCGTAATCAGCATCCATTTTTATTATGATGAATTGCAGCCTTGCGGGTTAAGTACGTTTTAAGTTCACATGTGAGATTTTGACTGTCCAGGAAATTGAGCTACCTTTTCCATGTTTAGGTGATCTCTAAAATTATACAAGAAAATTGCTTACACATACATGAAGTATAATCAGTGCATACGAGGGGGACGACATAATTCATTCCTCGCAATACATAAAGTTCTACGCGCGAGAGTATATATATCTATTAGTTTACTACATACTAACTTTCAGAGTTGCAAAGGGGAACACTTTTTAAAAGGTCAGATAACTACTATTCTTCACCAAGGGGCAACAAGGGAGTTGCAGAACATTCACATATCTATATATCTGTTATCCTCATAACTGCTATTCTCGGGACTTCGATCCTTTTCCGGCCTGCAATGAGATTGTATATGAGGGAGGATTCATAGCAAATCAAATCTACAGGCTCCGTTTGGTTAGATCTTTTTGGCTGAAATTGACGAATACGGTGAACTTTTCAGAAGGAAAGGTGTTCATCAACTTCCATTTCAGCCAAATAATCAAGTCAAAACCTACTTATTATGAATAAGTAGGAGAAAATATTTCACTTTTAGTCACATGACTATTAGGTCATTCTCTCTGTTGGTCCATAATTTTCTTTTTCCACTTTTGGTCCCATTTGTGAAGATATTTTGTCACTAATTGCCCCTGTTTATGGTCCTTCAACATTCCCGCTACATATCTGTTCAATTTCTGTATACTTTTGGAATTCAGAAAGGACCAATAGTGACAAGAACTCATCCCCCAAAAGTGCAAAAAATTGAAAGTAATGGATAAAAAATGAGAACGTTGGACGTAGAATAAGGCAGAACTATCTACCAATCAGGCTCTTCGGTAAATCAATATTAGAGGTTCTGAGATTTGCATTTGGAAGGACAAAAAGATAATCTAGGAATGCAATACCACCTTGTTAATAATCTTCTCAAAATCTGCAGTTCCGTGTTCCGCGATGTAGTTTTTCGCTGCAATTAGAACGTCATCCTGTTTACCGAAGACATCTTGCTTTCGTGGTACATACCAGATGTTAATAGCCTGTCGTTTAACAATGTATGGTCGTACAAGGTGTTCATACACATACGCGGCACCACTGAAGTAGGGCATGGCCAGCCAGCATGTTACAATTAGTTTTGCATATGACCAGACGGGTATCCTGATATGCGCACAAAATAAGTCAACTCATGTGGGTAATAAGAGTTTGAGGCTGCAATCATATATGACTCCCTCACTCCAAAAGCATGATTAGCATAACTATTATGTAACCTCTAGCGTAACCTTTTGAATTAGCATAACCTCTAGCATAACCCACACAAAAGAAAGAATTTAGTGTGCAAGGCATTTAACTGGTGTTTAGAAGTTTCCATGAAGTCTATATGTTAATCTGATAACTTTGCCCATTTCATATACTGTACACACATTATGTGCCCATACAACAACAACAACATCCAAGCCTTAATCCCAAAAGAAATCATTATGTGCCCATATGGTAATCTTTTTTTTTTGCTTATCAACCAGAGTTGTTACCAAAACTATTTTTGAATTGGCACATTAAAGAGGTTAATAATGAAAAAACTGATGTTGGAGGTTTTTTTTGCTAAATTTGTTGAAGAGAACCATTTTAGCTTTTCATCCATTATAATCGTTTCTTCATTTTAGTAATAAAATACTCAGTATAATTTAAATGACTTTTCAGAATTCATCGGATTTAGGGAATTATAGTCTTACGAAACACACTCTGCATATCAAGCTTTCGTGAAGAATTGTGATGCAACACTTTTGGGAAGTGAGATAATTAAATGGAAAGATACAAAACATTGTTATGATTCATATGAAAAATACTGACGATTTTCTTAGGTTACTCACAAGTGCCACTTACTATACCTGAAGATGAATAATTGTATGCATATAATTCATACACGGAAGATGAATAAATTTGTACAACCTATATAGCTCAAAAGTATTTGTCTGAGCTGAAAAGTGATAGCTTCGGCACAAGGGTTGTTGGATTAAAAAAATTGCCCCGTCGTCCCAAAACAAGAATTCCGCGTGTAACACTACTTTTTAGTATTACAAACCAGGTTCTTTCTTTGGGAAGTGGTACAATTTAAATATTGTAGAGATAAATAGAAGTTACCATTCAATGGCTTTAGCAAATGTAAGCTCAAAAAGTGTAATCATTGAGTAGAGAATCCAGTAGGTAAGCCATTGTTGATCATCTTCAGGATTTTTGGTCTCTATGGCTCTGATTGACTCATACCTGCCAACAAAATTTAGGACAAAGCAACCCACATTCTAAAACACTTCTTCAATTCCTCAAAATACTTGCTAAAAAAGAATCACCCAAAAACAAACCACTTGCTCCTATTAAGTAATATAAGATCACACAAGAGTGAAACAGCAGCAAAACTTCACCTTTGAGAGTAAAGGAAAAAAGAAGAAACTAAATTCACACTTACATAGGATAAACCAGACTAACCACGGGCCTGCAGATTCAAAGGGGAAAATTAATAATTATTGAAGTAAAGAAATGAAACCCTACAAGGCTGCAACTTTTAGAAGTGAATTTCCAAAACAAAGTCCAATTAAGCAAGAACATAAATTGCTTAACGAGAAAAACAAAACTAGAGGGGTAAAAAGAAAGCTAAGAAAGTTACCCAGCGAGCAAATCAAAGTTCTGGAGGATCACTTTGACTAAGCTTCCAAAACCGCTCGATCCCATTTCCAAACCAAGAAGAGGCGGTGAGATTATCTCTCTTTCTTTATTTTTTTTTTAGCTGCCTTTGTGAGCTAAGATCCTGACGAAGTAAGTGTAGTGTGGGCTGGTGGATTATGTATTTGGGTCCAACAATATTAATTAGGTTTTCCGTCTTATGGATGGTTTCTCATAATGTTAAGCGCCAAAAAGAGGAAAATGGCGTGGTCGGTGGTTCCAGGTGTAATGGTGTATGGTAGCCATGTGAAAAGTTGGAACTAGTAGTCATTATAGGATTATTAGTTAAATAAATCCCAAACTATCATCAAATTCACATATCTATCTCATACTTTCACTTTTACTGAAAAAGACTCAAACTTCAACTTTCCTCACAATTACACTTTCAATGGATGAATTAATAAAAGTTATGAAGAAAATCATATTTATATTTCACATTTTTCACTTCTTTCTAGTTATAAGTTTACAAACTTGTATTGCTTATATCTTATTGGTATTGATAAGAATGTGTAATTTTGAAAAAAATAAAAAAGAAAAGCATAATTGTTCAAAAAGATGAAGTTTGAGTCTTATTTTGATAAAAGTAAAAGAATGAGAGATTTGAGAATTTGATTATAGTTTGAGATAAAATAAGCTAATAATTCTTATATTCATTTTTAGCCATGTGCCAATGTGCCAGGTAGGGGTGGGCATAATGGTTCGGTCAACCGTACCAAACCGAATTAAACCAAACCGAATTAAACCAAACCGAAACCGAACCATTTGTAATTTGGTTTGAGTTTGGTAGTATTTCTCCAACCCGTATTAAACCGAACCAAACCGAACCGAAATTATAAAAGCGAATAAAACCGAACTAATCTAAAAATGAAACAATTTCTTATTTTTTTAAAATAACAAATCAAAACCAACTTACACCAAACTAAACCAAACCAAAATATACGATTTCTCTCATTAATTTGATTGATGTTAATCTTTTTGAAGCTTTAATTCTTTAATTTTACTGTCAGGGACTAGAGTTTACTAGAAGAGTTACATTCACAACTATATCAATTATAGTGGTTTAAGTAGATAGTATTTAACTATAATTTATTATCTACTACAACTGTATATTTGGTTCATTACTTACAAGCACCAGTTTTGTTTTTGTTTCGGCTTTATATATAACTTGATTCATTTCCGTTGTTGTTTCGGCTTTATTTTTGGTTCATATGTGTTTTTTAATGTATATATTATTCAATGTATATATTCAATGTTGTTTCGGCTTTTTAACTGCAACAACTTATATATAAGCTATTGGAGCTGGAATTACCGCAGCTGCTGGCACTAGACTTGCTCTCCAATGGATCCTCGTTAAGGGATTTAGATTGTACTTATTCCAATTACCAGAGTACCAGACTCTTAAGAACTCAGTATTGTTATTTGTTGTCACTACCCCCCCCCCCCCCCCCACCCGGATTGGGTAATTTGCGCGTGTGCTGCCTTCCTTGGATGTGTGTAGGATGGATGACATATGACTATTTGTCCTCGGTCTAACTTTGGTTGCGATCTGGACGAACGAGCAGTTGTGCATGGCTCTTGGATTTGGTAGAACACAGTGCATCGGAATTCATCTTCTTTTTGCCCGGCTTTGTCCCATGTGGTGATGTGGGGAACGCTAATCCTACTCATGACTTCGACCTTTTATCTAATAAACGCATCCCTTCCAGAAGTCGAGGTTTGTTGCATGTATTAGCTCTAGATTACTGTGGCTATCCGAGTAGTAGGTACCATCAAACAAACTAAAACTTATTTAATGAGCCATCCATAGTTTCACAGTCTAAATTAGTTCATACTTACACATGCATGGCTTAATCTTTGAGACAAGTATATAATCACTACTGGCATGATCAACCTGATAACATTCCTAGATGATGCTCTGAACACGAGTGACAAAAGCACACAATGCAACAAAACAATTGGACATGGGTAGGATTAAATTCAAAAACTCACAAGCATTTAAAATGTGTCAAAAGTATATTTACTACAATGTTGATGTACACAAATTAAATAGGACATTCTTGTTCTTTTTAGCAATATATGGTCCATTGATTGTTTAAAAAGATTAAAGTTGTCCATGATTCTTCTTTACCGTATCTGATCAAGTTTAAAAACACAATGAATACTCTAGTTGTAAAATGTATGTTTTAGTTTAATTTATGTTATTTTCTCTTGTCCAATTAGGTTATTATAAACTGAAACAAGATAAATAAACGTAGGGAAAATAAATTCAAATACCCCAAATTTTGAAGGGGTGTGAGGTAAATATCTCAAATTTGGTTTTGTAATTTAAATAATCCAAACTTTACATAAAGAAAATTTTTAACACAATGATTATAATTTCATTCAAATCTGAAAACTTATGATGATGATCATCATCATCATTACCCCATTGCCGCAAAGGCCACCTATTTTGGAATCAGGGCTCGGATGTACGCAGTCTTATCCCTATACAAAATCACCGAGACTGTTCCCGGATTCAGATGACCCATAGTGAAAATTGCGTCGAAAATGACATGGACCTACGGTTGCTTCATAACAAAGAAGCACAGACAGTTTAGTGAGTCATTTTGCTTTATTCCATCATATTCTCAACCCAAAAAATAGTTAGGCTTTGGCTCCATTGCAAATGATGGATAATAAACTTATATTGTTAATTGCATAATTCAAAACATTCTAGCATTTGTGAAGATATAATTAACATTCTAAACTTTCATTGTGAATAAATAATATTACATGCCCTCAATCTATATAAATATATAATTGCAACGCTTAGCAATTGAAATAAAAAATATTTTAAATTATGCAATTAATACCATAAATTTACATTTGTGAAAAAAGCAACATATGATCATGTTGCTGAAGAAAAGCTTTTTTACGTAAAGTTTGGGTATTTAAAATATACATCACACTCCAAAGCTTGGGATATTTGAATTATTTTTTTCTCACAAATGTATTATTATTAAGCACTCTAATAGGTACATATGTGTATACATTTGTTACATTTTCTTTTTGAAATACTAATGTTTTTCTAAAGGGGTTTTCCCCTTAATATTACTAAACTAAGCTTAATTTCCAAAAAAGTAATCACATTTAAATTTAGACAAAAATGTGACTAATGCAGTGACATTTTCGTAGTGACATCCCCGCACCTTATTTCCGCAGTGACATCTCCATCATCACCGGCCAAAGTGACGCATCCATAGTGACACCACCGCCGGCCATAGTGACATACCACCGACCACAGTGACACCGCCGACGGTCACCGTGACACCTCCGACAACCACAGTGACACTGTCGCCGGCACCGCTCAAAAACCACACTGCCGCCGGTCACAGTGACACTTCCAGCGACCATAGTGATCCCACCGCCGGCACCGCACCGCTTCTTCCAGTTATCATTTCAGATGTCACTTACCGAAAAAATGTGTCACTGTGTTGACGATTTTCCGGTGACTTTCACCATCAAAAGTTTCACTGAAAACCACCATACTGCCACCTCGAAACCACCGCCATCACCCTAACCCCAACACCAGCCCCCCTCCCATGCCTCCCGCTCTCCCAGCCCAGGCTTCACAGCCCCGTCCACTGCCAACCCTGCCACCTAACCCCCCACCACAACTGACCTGCCACAACACCATCCTGCAGCCACTGCGGTCTCCGCCCCTATGCCTACCCCAGACCCAGTCCCCTTCCCCTGCTTCCCCGTCCCCCCACAACTTTCCTGCCCCATCTCCAGCATATTTGCCCCAGAGCCGTCCAACGCCGCGCCAGCCCTGCGTCCCCCAGCGCCATCCAGCGACTTGCACAACCTAAACAATCACCTCCCTGCCTCGCCCAAGCCCTAGCAGTCCCAACAACCACGAGATCTGAAACAGGGCGGCGAAATCAGATCGATGAAGCAACGAAAAAGACGATTCACAGCAAAGAAGAAGAAGGTATTGCACAGAAAAGAAGAAGGCGATTCACGGTAGCCTAAAATAGGGCGGCGACAGCGACAGAATTGCCACGACCGCGACCCTGGCAGCCGGCGGAGGCGACGCGACGCGAAAGCAGCCGGCGGAGGCGACGCAGTGGCAGCCGGTGGAGACAAGAGGCGGCCGTCCTTGCTGGCTGCGGAGGCGAGACGGAGGATCTACTGCGAGGTGGGGAGATGAAGTGATGAAGAGCTTGTTGGGATATGGAGGATTGGAACGGACAGCTCTAGTGAAGGAATTTTGGGCAGCCGACCAAGTTAAGGACTTTAGTGATTCCAAACTCACTTTTTTGTCTTTCCCTAAATGAGTCACCTTTTTGTCCAATGAAACCCTGAAGTGATGTTTAGGCCATTCTTTCTTTTCTAAACTCACTATTACCTCCATGTTAGGGTTATTAGATTTGCGTTGTTTAGAAAATGTTATTAGATTTGGATAATAAATTGTTATACTTGCCAATCTTATAATTTCCAACCAACTTTGGTCTTATGTTCTACATCCGTTTTATTATAAATTTTTATTGCCCTGTCTATTTTTAAAAAATTCAGTAATCGTCCTAACTTTTAGCATCAATCTTTATATATTTCACCACCTTTCTTTCCCCCCTTCAAGAGTTCAAGGTATTCATCTATTATCCTGCCTAGTTTCTTATCCTAGCATTTTCCATGTTCCTAAGAGACCCTACGGAAATGATAAAATGTAAGCCAGAAAAATAGAAAATAAATACTCCGTAATCCGTTTCATCTTTATATTCTTAGAGCAGAAATATAAACACAAAAATGAGGCCATTTTAAGACGATTAGTTAACTACTTGTCTACTACATTACATGTAACGTATATACGCTGGCTGCTATTAAGGCCTAACTCCTAACAAATCCACTGTTATCGCTACCACCCTGAAGTTCCTCCCCTGACAGAGGATGATTGTTAAGAATCTGAGACGACCATTCATCAGACGGAGATGGATATCTAGCCCGGGGTTTACTCACGGAAGAAGGGGGTAAAGGGACGGGGTCCTCCCCATCTTGGTAAAGTTCAGGATTAGGACAGATGGGATAAACGTAAACTGGGTTAATCGTCATCACTTCTGCTTTCTGCTGCTCCTTGTATCCCGGAGGAGCTAGATTTAGATCAAGATTCGATTCTGCTGCCGCCCTCTCCTCGATCTCCCTTCGGAGATCGCTAATCTTTGCCTCCATAACATAATTCTCATCCTCCAGTTCCTTTTTCTCCATGCTCACCTGTACAACAGGAATGTTTTAGTAATCTTGGGAAAATGTCGTTTTTTAAGTTCAAACTTAATAGGGAGGGGAAGGAAGTCTCACCTCACCCCCTTGTATGGTTAACACTTTGGAGGTGAGAGGACCCTGATTTTCCTCTTCATGCCCCCACCCCTCCCCTATTTTTCTTTCTCCATCTCAAATCAGAGTGGAGCTCCCCCCAACCGAGGGGCTTGTTTGGTTTGGGAATTTTGGAAGGAATGGAAGGGGAAAGATAATATTTATTTTTAATCTATTCTTACATTTAGATGGTCGGATAAAAGTGAAGATAAAAAGCAATATAGGAAGATATGATTTAACTGAACATATAATTATGTATAGTAAGACTAAGAAAAAGATAGGGCTGAACAAGAAAATAATGCCAAAACCAACTAAAACCGATGGTACCAAAACCTAAAATGATGAAACCGACCAAACCATAGGTGGTTCAGATTATGGTTTAAGGTTTACCCATTAAAAACCGATCAAAACCGACCTATAGATGCCTAAACTGACCGAAACCAATATGAACTGACTGAAAGTAATCAAACCGAAATCAACTAGAGGTACTCTGTTTGGTTCTCATTTTTACATTTCTCAAAACTGAATCATCCAACTTGAAAACAAAAAACCCACAAAACTGAACAGGCGAATATCCCTAGAAAGATTTAATCCATATAATTTCTAAACCAAAAATCAATTACCCCCTTCTTCCCTCCGACCCCCGAACCAAACAATCCCCAAAATAAGTGATTGAAAGTAAGGTACATACATATTGGGTTTCGGACAACAAAGCCTCGCTTTCTCTTTTGAGCTGCTCGATTTGAGCTAACAACTCTTTCACATTTCTAGTGGCCTCGATCAATATTGAGGCCTTTCCATTTACTTGTTCTGAAAGTTCTGCAACAATGCACACGTTGTTATAAGACACCGCATTCTTGGATTTTCCTAGACAATTACGGAAAAATTACCAAGAGCATTGGCCAAAGAAAGAAATAGATCATTCAAATGATCACGCTTCATTTTTTCTCTCTCTGCCTTGTGAGCTCTTTTAGGAACTTTCCCTTGCTTCTTCTTGGTAAGATGATCCCTGTAAAGCCAGGGTTTTTAATTAGATAATCAAGCATGCTTGAGTAACTACTCTCTCAACTAGAGTAATATGTGCGGAGAATGAGTAAAAAGGCTATAGAAAGAACAAATATAGGCTAAAGGGTTAACTAGATCCTTGTACACAATTGATAAATTAACCACCTCAACTAAAAGAAACTCCAATCAAACCCATGAACTGTGCGGAATGATGCAATTGGTATTTTTTGTAAGCAAGCTTCCATTTCTAGGACATTTCTACTCAAGATAGCCTGCTGACTAAAACCAAACTCCTTTTCTTTTAAATGCAGAAGCACACAGTCTTCTTCTTCTTTTAAAAGAAATCAAGTTCTCCCTTTTTCAAGAAATTTCAGTTCTAAATCAGTAAGAAAATAGATCGTATGATATGTTGGAATGAGTGATGCAGGTTTTCAGTATCACTCCACTCCAATATCACCTTGGAGTAATAAACAACCAACTCATAAGTAAAAAATCATCCCAACTCAAATAGCCTGCAAAAATACTACTCCCTCTGTCCCTTAAAGTTTGTCCTAGTTTGACTTCACAAGTTTTAAGGAGATGAATTTGACTTTACACTGTAGCGACACTGTTTCACACTGTAGCGACACCGCACTGTTTGACACTGTTTTGCACTGCTTGACACTGTTTGGTATAGATTTGTTTACCAAATATGGAAGTTGAAAAAGTAGGACAAACATTTTGGGACATCCATTTCGGGAAAGTGTGACAAACTTTAAGGGACGGAGGGAGTAATAAACAAGCTAAAAGCCTAAACTAATAATAAAACCCTCCTCCCAATACACCCTGAGCAGTGAACAACAAGAACCTAGGTCAGTGAGGGAAAAAGCACTCATGGAGGTCAGGGACTCAGGAATGGCCAATGTCACCTGTTGAGATTGAGCATAGTTAGCACTGCCTTTGAAAGCCATATTTCAAATCAGATAAAATGAGAAATTTTGGTAGAGGATGGTAAGAGGCCTTAGCTTCTTTCATTCTGATTCTGTTGAGGTGATTTATGTGATCTTTGTCACTTTCTGAAATAAATTCAAAGATTGCCCATAGATGAAAGAAGAGAAGAGTGATGATGAAAGTTATAGTTCTCCAGATTTGTCTAAGGGTGCGTTTGGATCTCTTGTCACTAAAGATTTGAGATTAAAATAAAAAATTTCAAATCAGCTGACATGTAATTTACCTGCTGAGTTTGAAATCTAACAGTTGAAACCCCATTAAAAGGGTGATTTGCAACATTTAATCTAGTTCATGGTTTTGATTGGAGCTTCTTTCATTGAGGAAGTGAATTGAACAATCTGGATAGGACACATGCCTATTTGAAACTTTAGCCTAAAATATACTCCCTCCGCCCCCCTATAATTGTCCCATTTTTCCATTTTTGGATGTCCCTTTATTATTGCCCCATACCATATTTGATAACATTTGTGTGGCTCTAATTCGTTCTTACTTTATTTCCACTTTATCAACTCATTACCAACCACATAATTCTACTTTTCTTAAAAATCACACCACTCCCTTACGTACCAATATTAGGGGGACGGAGGGAGTACTACATATTCCAGTACTAGGTTAGATGCTTAGCACATGAAAATACAAAAGAAATAAAGACCTTCAGGAGGGCCATTTCCAGGTAATCAAAGAAATGCAGAAGCAAGATGTAGTAATGTAGTACATACTCTTTGTTCATAACTAAATCAATACAATGCATGTACTTTTATTGATTTTCCATCAATTTAAAGCCCAAAATATATGTTAGTTATCATTTAAAGACCATGAAGATCAAAACCATCACTGTAGGACCTGCATCACTGAAATTATGAATCTGCGGCTAAAAATATCACGAGTTTTGAATCTCATTTTATATTCGGTATATTAATTTTCAACGAAAACTACTTCACAAGTTGTATACTAGGTTTGGGAATTTATTTCTAAAAAATTAAGAAAATACAAAAGAATAAAAAATCAATGATGGTTTCAACAATTCAAGTCCTTATTTAATAGTTTTCATAAGTAAGATCCTGAATTGAAAGACCTATTTTGGGGTCTAATCCACAAAACTCCAAATTAGTAAACACATAATATTCACTTCAGATAGTACATGGTTAAAACTTCCTTGGTAGAAGAACAAAAGTAGGTTGCTGGTGTACCGATGGTCTGATGCTAACAAAAAATCATGGCTCCAAAATATCCCTAAGGCAATAACACATATTCATAAGAATGAACTTTCCTAAATAAAGAAGATCATGAACGTATTGATAACAGGAATAAAAATGTTAAAATAATAAAATTGAACTGTAAATGTATGAAGAAGAAAATCATTAAGCACTAACCCGGTCAAAACTGTCTCTGGAGGAGTGCTGCCCTTTTCCATCACTGGAGCTGCCGGACCTTCTGAATCCATCTTTCACCAATAAGATTCAACTTGCCAGAATCCCCTTAAACTCTATTTCTTGTTCTTCCACAATAGTTTGCCTGTGTAAAATAACATATAGAAGCAGATTAGCCATCAACATTAGTCATGCAAATGTGTTAAACCATCCCTCTGTCCAAAATTCTTTTAAACTTTTACTGCCAATTGGTCAACTCAACTTTCTTTATTCTCAGATTTTGCATAACATTTTTTTCGTATTCAAATTTGTTTTTTGAACTTGAAATAGAACTCCTAGTATTGTTACTGTATGTACATTTTAATTATTACACTCATTTAAATACTATTAGAGAAATTAACTTTTTCATCAATCCAAACATAAAACTACAAAGCAATTTGGATGTAAGAAATGTACAGTTCCATTTTGGAGAAATTGACATTAGTTGATTCTTTCTTTTGGCATTTGCAGCAAAAGAAGTTGAAACACGAAACCTAATTCTTGAATGTGAGTTTTCAATTTGAGTCCAAAAGATTCTAAAATCTACTTATTAATAGGAGAAACAAATTTCAAATTTTAGGAAAATTACCAACACAGCCCTGTACGGAAGGGGAGCCTTGGCGCACCAGTTACGGTGTTGCTGTGTGACTCAGTGGTCACGGGTTCAAGTCTGGGGAGCAGCCTCTTGTAAAAAATGACAAGGGAAGGCTTGCTCCTTATACACGCTTGTGGTGGGACCCTTACCTGGACCCTTGCCTAGTAGGGATGCCAATGTGCACTGGGCTGCCCTTTTTTACCAACACAGCCCTGTACACGTTGTTAAAGTTTCTGTCATTTGGAAGCTTTGGAACATATTCAGAAACTGGAAAACTCAATGTGTGTGGCATTTGCTGGGGACCTAGGTTCTGGTCTATAAAACTTGTTTTACAGTACATGTGACTTTATAAATCAAGAGAACATAGAGTACAAAATTTCTATGTTTTTCCTCTTAACCATGTTACCCTGTATTTCTAAATTAAAGTAGCTTCTGCTATTCCAAGAAGGGGTACAACACTACAAATAAAAGATAGTTTAATTATAAGTTATAACACTATTTCTATAATATTGATGAGTTTCTTAATCCATGTGTATAATAACCCGTAAATGACATTTACTATGAAAAATGAAATGGAGAGAGTAACTATTTGTAATAATTGATAAAATCCTTAGCAAAGACTTTGATTTTACCCGGAAAATAAAGTATATGATAATCTAGAAAATCATGCCATTTTATCGGATTACCTACACTACCCCATGAAATTAGATTATCCTGCAGGAGCAGAAGTTGCCCTAATAATCAAGAAAGCCGCAAAAAAATCAAAGCTTTAGCTTAATAAACATGCTCCTCAAAGTAAATGGAATCGAAATTTACATAGCAATGAAAACCCTCAAAATTGATGCATCCGATCAGCTAACAAAAAGTACGTAATCAAGATTAAAAAATCCGTACAAATTAGAACAAAATCAAGAATACATACCTTGTAAGGGTTATTCTTGTTTCCTTTTTGTTTTTCTGAACCGGGTTGTTGAGTTGGGGAAGACGAAGAGCGTAGAGTTTGGAGGCTGAAAGGTCTGTTTTTAGTAGGGGTGGCGTGTGGCCAACATAGGCTTAAGGGGAGCACTATGCGTAGCTTGAGAAGCGTGACACGAGATGAGTGGTGTGTCATATACGAAACCCCGCGCGTTGTTGCCTCACGCTAATATGTGACGCCCTCTCATAATTAGTTTTCCTCTCATAATTACTCTCTTCGGTTCTTATTAAAGTTCTCACTTTCCTTTTTGAGATGTCCTTTATTTAAGTCCACACTTCCATTTTAGGAAACAAAACAGTGCAAAACAGTGCCAAACAGTGTCAAACAGTGTCCAAACAGTGCCAAACAGTGCACTCCACAGTAAAGTCAAATTCATTTTCTTAATATGTGTGAAGTCAAACTAAGAACTTAAATAAGAACCGGAGGAAGTATAATTCATCGGTGAATGGTGAGATGGATTTAGGATGTTTTTTCGAACACTAATTTGTTGGTCTTATCTGTTTAAGTCTGGTCTGGCCTGATACGCCTTGCTTTGAAACTGAAAATAGTCCAAAAGAAAATATCCATAATTTATTCATATTATTATTTGATCATATGTTTATGTTGAATCTTTCAATTATAATTATAGTATTATACGGAGCAACTATTTATATGGAGAAAGTTAGGGTCTGTTTACTAAGAAAGATATTTTCCAGTTTTCCAGAAAACTGGAAAACTAGAAAACAGAAAACAGGAAACGTGTTTACCCAAGAAAATTGTTGGAAAACTATAGAAAGGAAAACAGAAAAACACGTTTACCAAACCGTTTTCCAAAACGAAAAAAATGAGACATGTCTCTCTTTTCCTTAATGATTTGGAGAAGTGACTTTTACTAGTTTTCCAAATTTGGAAAACGCAGATGGTACATGTCGCTGCAATGAATTTGCATACTTACACCTAGTGGTGGGTCCGGTCCCGCTCCGATGTCGATTCCATTCTAGTACATCCATCCTCGTACCTTACCCCTTACCCCTACCTTACCCTACCCACCCAATGACTCTACCCCCACCCCTACCTCGGTCCCACCCTGATCCACCCTACCCTACCGCCACCCCTACCACCTCAACCCCACCCCGACCCACCCTAACCCTTAGCCCTACCTTACCTCTTCCCACATGCCCCCTACCTCGGCCCCATCCTACCGCCATCCTACCCCCACCACCATCCTACCCCCACCCCTACCCCTTCCCCTACCTCTGCCCCACCCTGATCCCGGCCCCACCCTACCGCCATCATATCCCAACTCCCTACCCTACCCCTACCTTACCCCAACCCCAACCCTACTCACTATCCCCACCCTTACCTCTAACCACCACCCTAACCCACCCCCACTACCCCACCCAACCCCGTACCCCTAGACCTTACCACCCCACCCTCGACCATACCCCTTACCCCACCCCCACTCATCCCCATACCTTCCTTCCCTACCCCGACCCCTACGAGTAGGTATGGGTGGGTATGAAGGGTTTTAGGGGAGTACGGGTAGAGTGTAAGACCGTGGTAAGGGTAGGGGTAGGGGTCAAGGGTGTGGAATTGGGTGTAGGGTGTAGGGTGGGGGTATGAGGTATAGGGGCAGGGTAGGGGTTAGGAGTATGGGTACACGTACGAGGTGATCGACCACACATATTATATTATATATTTGTGTTCATGAATGTTGTGCGTCTATATATGTATAAGGTTATTTTGGACATTTTAATGTTAAACGGTGTTTTAAACCGTAAACATGATCTTATAACATTGCTTATTTTATGTGTCGCTTATTAACACGAGTCTTAATAAGCACCATTTAGTAACCCGTGAAGTAAACATGCCAGTCTTCTGGATAATAACAGAACTGGGTGAAAAAATTGATGAACATGTTTTCAGATTTGAAAATGGAAAACTAGAAAATAGAAACAGAAAACTGAAGATAGAAAAATTGAAAAATAAAAACAGAAAATTGGAGAACGAAAAATAGAAGTAGAAAACAGGAAAATATATCTGTTAGTAAACAGGCCCTTATATTTCCAGGGTACCATATAATTTGGAAAAAACGTCACCCGCATCACTATTTGACTTTCATTTTCCAAAACTATGACCATTATTCCATATTCCAAAATTATGACTAAAGTCTACCAAGACCCTTCATCTTCCTGCGGTCCATTTACTCCCGTCTCACGCTCTCTGCTCATTTACTTCTGTCCGCACAGTACTCTTACAACAAAGCCTCTCCGCCTCCATCGACGCACACGAAGCTCCAACAACAAGCCTCCAACGGATCCTCACCCGCCAGGCTTATTCTCTCCGCCGCCACTGCTCTCTGGCCGCCGTTGCTCTCTTCTTCTTCTCATTTCTTGCTGCAACCTCTACCCGTTGTCTTCCTTGCTCGATTGCCGTGCTTCTTTGTCTAATGGTCGATGGTTGCCCGAAGTCGGCTCAGATATCTCGGATCCACTGTCCTCGAAGTCGGTGAGGGACCTCAAGAGCCGGACCACCTCTTCCTCTGTTGCTTGGTCATCGCTGTTTGGCCGTTGCTTCATGGTTTCAGATCTGGGCAATGGGCGGCTATGGAGGTGGGCTGGCCTGCTAGGGAGGTGGCTATGGGGCTGTCCGCTGGGGCTGAGGGCTGTGGAAAGGGGGTTGGGTGATGCAGGGGTTGGGGTGACGCAAGAGCGGGGGCTGGGTGAAGCAGGGACTTGGGTTTGGTGGTTGCAGTCGTTGGCTGAAGTTGGTGGCTGGCGGAGGTAATTAGGTAGTGCGGCGGCGGTGTTACTGTGAAGGTGTCACTGTGGCGGTAACCGAGCGGTCACTATGGTCGTAGTCACTATGGCCGAAGTCACTGTGGGGCAGGGTCAGTCACGGTGGATGGTGGACAGTCATTGTGGCCGGAGTCAGTCACGGTGGCTGGGTGGACGGGCAATCACTATGGTCAGTGACGGGTAGTCACTTTGGTTGGGGGCGGTGGCAGTCACTGGCAGGGCGGAGTCACTTTGACCGGAGTCACTGAGATAGTAACTGACGGCGGCGATGTCGGTGACAGCGACGACGCGGTGCCGGTGATAGGGGCGGCGGTGCTGTGGTCAACGGCCATAGAGGCACTGGTGGCTGCAAAATATGGACTACTAAACAAATATATAAAAGGAATATTAAAATAATAAATGTATGATTAAATACAATAAATAAATGACTTTTAGTTACTCTTTTGGAAAAATTTAAAACAGGTCACATTTTTGTCATTTTCATTCATTTTAGTAATATTGAAATAAAAAGGCTTATAATTTATGTGAATTGAAACTAGACTTCATAATTCTTTTTTCGGCCCCAAACAAACTATGAAGATTGTCTTCTAAGGTAAGGTGAAAGTGTGTAACATTGTTGACATACTTTTAATAGCGTGGAGAGATTTTGTTCACCCTCAGGTCTCATCATCCCCTCACTTCCCTACTTGCCATGTGACAATCCAATTTCTTTATTTTTTTAAATTGTTATAATTTTTTTTATTTGTGGTTCAATCTTTATAAAAAAAAATTATATCAAATTAAATACTACTTTCGTTTCAAATTGATTTACAAAGTCAGTTTTTGTTAAATAGTTTCATTTTGTTCACTTAATTAGGATGTCAATTTTTATTTATATATAAATTTTAATTATTAGAATTTGAATTCTTTTTCAATAGAGAAGATTTAACTTTAACATTGATTGAATTTTTTTTTGACTTTGTATATCAACTTGGGATGAATGAAGTATTTCTTATGATACTTCCAATGTCACCAGTATTGTATATAAAAATTGAAAAAAAATATAATTTCTCTAAATATCCATTTTTTGTCATTTGTTTGAATTTTAAATATGTAATATTGGTATCATATAAAAGATCACAAAAAAAGATATGTAGTACTACCTCTGTTCTCTTTTAATTGCAACATTGGACTTTTTGCACTATTCACATATTCTATTTTGACTATATTTTATTAATTAATGTATTATAAATTATTTTTTTCAAAAAATTGTTAAATTCTTATCATTCTATATATTTTAAATATGATTTTTTTTTAATTTTTTACTAATAGGGAATGAAAGATATTAATGGTCAAACTTGTGTGTTGGTAAACGTGAAATGTTGACTGTTGCAATTAAAAAGTAACGGATGAAGTATATTTTTAAGTATAAATGAAACAACAAAGAAAACGTTACAGCAATTGCAAAACAGAAATGCAATGATATGCCACATGGCGGCACCATAGGGCTAGGGGTGAATATCGCCCTCTTTTGAGGGGGTCAACCAAATTGCTCTTCATAGATATACTACTTCTCTCTTTGTCTACAACATTTCTTGGCGCATTGAGGGTTAGACGTATAACTTGAGAAGAATTGCTCCTTCACTTTAAAAGCCCTTGCCTCAGGGAGTGAGGAATTCGTGTACTTAGGTTTACCACTCTAGGACTCCTTTGGGCATAAAAGATCATATGAACTAACCTGGGAGAGCAATTCAGGATTTGGACACAATATACGTGTTTGGCATTCAGCGGTTAGCGGGTTATCTTAGCGGGTTATCAGTAGCGGATTCGGTTAGTGGGTTTGATTAGCGGAATAAGTTGGCGGCTTGTCAGAAGATGTTTGGTCATTCAGCTGTTTGGCCATAAAATTAGTAGAAAACGCCATTTTTCAAAACATCAACCCAAAAATTTCCTATTATCAGCGTTTTCATTTCAATGTTTCCGTCAAAAAATGCTTGTGCCGAACAGCTATTTACCAAACAAGTTTTTTACTTATTGAAAAAGCTAAAAGTGATCAAACCGTCATTTTCGGCTGAAACGTTGTTTACCAAGCACCCCCAGTATGCGCCCTTTGGCCTAGGTTAAAGAAAAGGAGAAAAAAGACCCCTGATTCGGAAAAGAATTGACTAGCTCGAGTACATCAAGTTTAGGGGCACATACAAGTTACCACTGAATTCATGGATAGACAACGCCACAATGTAGAGATATTAAAATATTTAGTTGATTAGTTGATTAGTATGAGATTTATTCAGATCATAAACTGATTCCTAGAATCAAGTAGGAGATTTGTATTAAAATTCGCCCACTCACTCTCCTATACAGGAGATCTTGGGTTCTAAATCTCATGGAGGGA